ATATGACTCTAAAATGCATGGTTAAAGGTACAAGAAACATGTTGGGGAGATATGTTGGTAAATGGTTCTACGATAAAGGGATTCCCTTTGATGCAGCCAATAGCCCATATTTTCCACCTATGGTCAGTGCAATCTAGAGAGCCGGGCCCAGGGTAAAACCCCCGACGGCATATGAGCTCAGTGGGCCAATATTAGATGAAGAGGTGGAGGAAGTTACAAAGTGGATTGAAGAAAATAAACAGAGTTGGCCAAGGACAGGAATTACTCTCATGAGTGATGGTTGGTTGAATAAAGTTAACAAAAAGGAGTTTTTAAACTTCTTGGCATATTCTCCAAAAGGTACAGCTTTTTTGTCTAGCAAAGACGTATCAGAAACGAAGAAAGATGCAAACTTCTACGTACGACTATATAATCAGATAGTGGAGGAGGTAAGAGATAAGCATGTAATCCACTTTATTACGGACAATGCGCATGCATGTGTTTCTACGAGCAGCAAATTGATGGAGAAGATGAAGCATTTAGTATGGAACCCATGTGCTGCACACAACATAGATCTTATGCTAGAGGAGATCGGTGAGATCAAAATTGTGAAGGAGACTCTAGAGGAAGCAAGGTTGCTGTCGAGATTTATATACAACCACTCTAAATATTATTTCTGTTTAGAGAACACTCTAAGAAAAAAGAGATAATCAGGCCTGCCATAATCCGCTTTGCGACCGATTACATAGCTGTGGACTCCATTCGGGAATCTAAATGTGCCTTAAAGAGATTGTTTACCTTTAAAGAGTGATTAAATGATTGTCTCTCGAAGTCCAGTACCGGTATAAAAGTGGATGGCATAGTCTCAAATAGGAGGTTCTGGTCTCGATGTTCCAGTGTCGTAGAAGCCACTGCCCTTTTGCTCACGGTGTTAAGAATGGTGGATGCTGACAAGAAAGCTACTATAGACATCCTTTATGAAGGTATTTAAATGAGCGAAATCAGCTATTGGGGAGAAGTGTAGTTTTGCTAGCAAAGTGATTGATATTATAGAACGGAGGTGGAACACCAAATTTGGACGTCCAATTCATTATGTTGGTAAATATATATTAATATCATTAGAATGTTTCATTTTAAATCATTTTTTTATGAAATTGTAAATGAAATTTTTCTATTTGACACCTGAACTTCCCTACAAGATTATGAAAGGGGTCAGATACATTATTGCAAGGTTGGAGAGAAGCCAGTGAAACCAAATAGCAGCAATACAATAGGTATTATTTAATGTTTGGGTAAGAACTTTATTGAGTTGTTATATTTGTGAAGAATAATGCACTAAAACGAAATATATTTGTTTTAGCTTGCTATCTATAGGGATGCTATAGGATCTTTCGGAACTAGACTTGCTAGGAATTATCGAACTAAGATGGATCTAGGTTATCCCCTAGCTAATATTTTGTTCATTCATATATTTAATCTTATGAATTGTTTTTGCCCTTACAATGCTTTTTGCATTTAAATACAGCTGAATGGTGGGAGATATATGGTACTGATGCACCATACCTAAAGAGGATAGGAATCAAGATGCTCTCCCAAACATGTTCTGCTACTGGCAGTAAGCACAACTGTAGCACGTTCCAATGGTTACACACTACTAGGAGAAATCGACTCGTTTCGGAGAAGCTTCATAAACTAGTCTACGTTCATTACAACTTAAACCTCCGAGATCAACAAATAAGAATGAAGCTTGAAGACTATGGGCCGATAGACTTAGACACAATATTTGTCACAGACACAGTAGAGGAAGCAGTCAGCCAACGTATCCGCAAATCGTCGGAGATGTCGGTGATATTGCACCTAATGAGGAGAGAGTGGGAAGGGGGTCTAAGGGAAAATGAGAGAGATGATAATTCCGAGGCCACCCTATCCCAGCCATATTATTCACATATCGAGTCCCAACAGCAACAAGATAGGGATGAACACGACAGTGTAGGTGAGCATGAAGGATGGACAAGCTTCGGGGATTTTGGATCGGGAACACAACAGAACACTAACACTCAGGGATTTGGATATAGTCAGATGCCTGCTAATATCGACGATTCGTTTTTAGATCAAATCAATGAATTGTCAAACGAATTCAATCAATGGCACCAGCGTTACCAAGAAGAAGAACATCGTCGTCTGTCATTTTATTTTTAGATCATATGTTACTAATTGTATGCTTTATTGTCGTCCATGTATGTTGATATACTTATTCCATAATAATTCTATGTTTATCCTTTTGTGTGACGTCAATTAAATGGTAAATAGTAGTTCATGCAGGGAAAGAAAATATCAATATTCGCATATTCATGCAAAGAGATGAAAATTCTTAATGGAGTACCATCATTTTTTTATTGAATTCCTAAAAAACAATATTTATAATGAATTTTAATAATTTTTTCGGATTTTTTTGAAGCTTTAATCTGACCGATTCACTCGATTCCCGATCTGAATCGTCGATTCGCCGATCCGGACCGGTTTTTGAGGTGCCTGATCCGGGTCACCGATCCGCTTTTAAACCATTGGTTACAACCATCCAATATGAAATTTTATAGCTTCGATGTGTTACAAAGTTCAAAAAAATTTATTTTGAACTTTGAGTTTGGTCAATGGAATAAATGCAGCCACCCAAATTTACATCTAATGGTCAAGATGAATTGTGACCACTTTATACCAATGGTAAATCGTCTTAATGTATATTTTTCCTATTATAAAATGGTAGACATACTTCAATGAGATTGCGTGAGTGGGACATGTCAGTGCTGTGACACACTGGCAAATGAAGGAAAGGTGGGCAATTGAGCCATTAATTTCAAAAAAAAATTCAGAGGTACCATTGTAATAAAAATTCGAAAAAAGTATTGCTTACTGTAGCAAATTGGTTGGTCAGATTCAAATGGTCCAGCACATACCCTATCTAGATTGCTCGATTATGGATCGGGTCTCCGATTTGCATGCAACTATTAGAGTTCTCCCAAACAATCCGAAACGGGAGAATTGCTAATATCTCAACTCAAATCTTGGATGGGCAAACACTAGAGTTTAAAATATTTGGTGTAGTACTATCGGGTTTCTACTTTATTATTTAAAGTTTATTTTTAGGTTATACGAATTTTGGTCCGTCATTTTGCTTTATTAAAGGTCATACCTTAAGTGATGTCATAAGTCCTCATATGTTATTCTTCAGGATGCAGATACATATTTTAAAGAAAATTTTTTATATAGTGTCGAGGCTCTAAACAATCAAATTAGAGCCTACATAAAAAATTTTACTAGAAGAGGTTATTTTGATACCCAAATATCCTCGACATCAAGATACATGGACATGAGAAAAATATGCATTTCAAGTTTTGAAATACTGTATTTTGTAATGCGTTTTTAGATTGTCAATTTTCAAAATTTTCAAGTTCTCGTAGATTTGTCAATCTATATTATTTTTTAAGCTTTAAACTTTATAAATAAAAATAAAAATATATTTTAAGGCTATCACAAACAAGTCCACTATTAAAACCACATTTCTTGACACTATTTGAAGGTAGGATCTAATTTGATTGTTTAGAGCGTAGGCTCTATACAAACCGCACCCTATTTTAAAGGATGTTACTTACTCAACTTCCAAGATGTGCCTCTTAGGGGAGCGCCTCTCTGCATAGTTATCTCTCCTAGATAGGTATCTTCACGTATCCAAATGTTTGTTTTACATGAAAGCGCTTCTCAAGCCAACAAATCCGTTACTTGATTGAAAGAACTAATGTATCAACTTAGTAAGCGTTTTCATAGGAAAATAGATGGAGTGTCACTCTCACAGAAAGCCTCGCAAGAAAATAGATGGATTGCCACTTTCTCACAATAAGCGGCACAAGTTGGTGAAATAATTGCTACTGCTTTCCTAGAAAACCAATTTAGGAACGCAATAATCCAGAGAGAAAGGACTACATAGCTAAAAAATGCACCTAAAATGGCTTCTATTTCCCCTGCCTTTTCATGAAATACTTAATCCTAAGCCATTTTCATCCCCCTTTTTAATGTTGCCCTCAACTCCTGTATCATTAGGGCTCATGTTTGTTGGAAAACCTTTGAGCTTCGTCAATGGAATAAATACAGCCACCTAATTTCACATCTAATGGTCAAGATTAATTGTGCCCACTTCCAAAACAATGGTTAGCTATATGGAACAGTATTTCGGTGGTACACCAACTGTCCATCTTCCTTCATAAATGGATGATTGGAATTGAGACATTTGAAACAAGGGGCTATGCCCACTTTCCTCCCATCTCTCCCCTTCATTTTTGCTCCTCCCCCCCCCCCCCCCGTTCAGAGAGTAAACCCAATACAGTATTCTCTTCCAATTGGCCTAATTCATCGCGGATGCTAAAGGAGGGAGAAATCATACCTAATCCCTAGGCCTAATTCGTCAAGGCAGTGGAAGGAAGAGGGAGAAATCAGCCCCTAATCCCTATCAATATGAAACACTATACTCTCTCTATAAAGATTTGAGGATGATTGGTGGATACTGTCATGTGATTGAGGAACAAGAATGCTAATTAATTAGAGTTTTTTTATTTTTATCTTAATTCATGAAATTCATTAGGATTTCTCCTTGCATAAATTACTTTTGGAATTTCAAAACACCATTTGAAATTCTTAGAAAAGTATGGTAAAGAGAGGAAATAAGTTATTTTTGGCTATTTTAATGCAATATAGTTTCATGGCTATCCGTTCCCTCTCTCACTCTTTCCTTCACACATCACATTATCACTATTGAGAAATCCTGGACAGCCGGGCTTTGGAAGGGTGGAAAGGGACTTTTTTGCTAACATTATTTTTTGTTTATGCAGGCCATGTGGAATCACTACAGCTAACAATGGCAAATATCTCGAGGCCAAAATGATCAATTGAAAGGTTCAACTTTTTAAGACACTCTTTCCTCGACAAATTTGAGTATGAAAAAAAATTTTAAGTCCTAAAAAAAATATGTATTCCCACCAATTGAGCCTTTCTCGTATTTAGAACAATGACCAAAATAACTTTATACATAAAGAAACAATTGAACCACATCAACAATATTGTATCATTCATATGCATGGTAAAGTTATGCAGATTATACATTTATGAGGAGGCAGGAGACCCATTCAGGTCCAACAAATTTGCCTATTACCGCATTTCTAAACCCTAATATGATGCAAATCTCTCGATGCCGTTGCTCTGAAAACCGCAAGAGGGCATTGAATTTGCTCATAAACCTTAAGAGCCCTAAAAGAACTATACAAATTTGTAGTTCAATCAAGCAAGATCTTTGATTCAGTGGTCTGAACTAATCTCCACCCTTCTGGCTCTTCCAGGTACTTCTTTGATTCAATGTATTCCTCAAGATTGAATATCGCCTTTTCCAAGTTTTGGCCTTTCTGTGCCTTTAGGGAGGGCAAAAACTTACGAGATATGACGTTCAAAACTTTTATGAATTGCCTTTTGTATCTCCTGTACAAAGCAAAACCAGCAACCTAACAAAAGATACATGTCAGCTGAAACTAAGAAGCCAATATGCATGTAAGTACGTAAAATGATTGTCAGATCACTATGTAAGCTACATACCTTTAGGAATGCATCCAGCACTACAGCAGTGTGTTTGTTAGGTGGGAGGTGGTTGAGAAACCTCGCAAGCCATGCCCAACCTTCCTTCAGGCCATGAAGGTTTCTATAATTCATGACATCCGTCTGCCACACAAAGCAAAGATTTAATACCACAGAAAGTGAGTGTAAGGGGCAGAATTTTAATCCAAAACCAAATAAGCCATCAAGCACCATAACACTTAGGCACAGAGAAAAGCTACAAAGGCAATCGTATACAGGAAATCAACACGATGAGTAGACAATAACATAATGGTTTGCTAGCCACAGCCATAACAAAAAAGGGTGGCTTCAACTCATGTTTTCGGATGAGTGAGGACCCAAATGTTCCAAACTCATTATCTTATTTTCCACCATCAATCTTCTGAAAAAAGAAAGGGATCCATCTAGGGTGCTATCTCAAAATAAGATTTGAACATCCATTGAAATTGAAACAGATGGTAGATCAATCAGATTTGGAGCTTTTTAGGAGCTTTAAACCCATTTCTTTTGTGATGGACAACGGCAGGATTTTGGAGCCTTTTTGGTTCTTCGATCCATGAAAATAATAGATTTTAAGGTGCGGCCATATGGGTTTACCACTACACCATGAACTGACCAGCCCCAACATGATTTGCATAAACATAAATACAAATAAACATTAATGCAAAGGAGACACAGACACAGAAGCATTAATACAAATAAACTGATCCAAAGGAGACAGACAGTTACACAAAGACACAATATACTTACCCAAACAAGAGAGAGAGAGAGAGAGAGAGAGAGAGAGAGAGAGAGATAACCATACACAAAATAACCCCCAAACACAATATGTAACAGTAGGAATTTTAATAAACAAGTTAGAAATAATTCAAATATTTTGACATTTTGATAAGTCAGCAATATCTTGAAAGTTCAATAGACGAGAAGAAAAGCTGTGATCTCGCAAACTCAGGGCCAGCAAAAACATTGGATCTACATTAAATTTCGATCATGTTCATTTCCATGCTATCCCAGTCAAATAAATTAACAGCCCAAGGATGAGGAAAAGAACCTGAACTAGTGCGGCATAAAGTCTGATGTACGCCACTGTGCGATCCAAGTAACTCTCTGTGCTTTCAATATGCCCATCTTCGTCTCGATAGCCAATCATTTTGTAGTATTCTTCTTCGGAATTGAAAGCAAACTAAAACCGAAAAACACAAGTAAAAGGTTTTATCTTTGAAATTACTAAATCATAAAAACTAGTTTAAGCATCTAAACAAGTTCCAAGAATTTTCTCACACATTTGTCTCTTTAAACAAAGCAATATATATGCATTGGAAATCACAACAAAGAACAAAATAAAACGTCGCCCCAAAGCAGGGGCATGCATGTATATGCAATGACAAGCACACCCATAAAATTAACATGGACGTCTCCTCATTTGTTCTGTACACAATGCAGCTAAGCTTGACTTCCAAGTAGAGGGTAAGTCAAGACAGAATTCCAAGGTCAAGATCTGCTAAGCTTAGTGAGAAGCACACATTTTATTTTCTTCTACTAATTGGACATTTCTTTCCAATCCATGTACTTTCTCAGTTGGCAGCACCATCCAAATCAATTTGGTTGAATGGAGAATAAAGGGGGCTCGATAGCTGAAACTTGGGCATCTACAATGGCAACAAGTACCCAATGTCTCACACCTTATGACAAATTTTTATTTGATGTTTTTTCTTGATATGATATCTCGTAAACTTATTTCATGAACATTACATTCTAGCAAGAAAGATAAAAATCAATGAAGCAACAAAAAATAACATCTTACCTTTGAGAACTGGATATGCTTGGGGATAGTGTAAATGCAAGCCTTATGAAACTCCGCAAGTACCAGATCCATAGAAACTGGGACCTGAAGACAAGCAAGAAAAATCCATAAAACATGAAATGATACAAATGTTCCATATCAGCCACAAAAAATTCATTCTAAAGCCCTGTCTTGAGCATCTATGCCACCTAAGAAAGATAGGGAACTTTGTAAACTGTTAACTACAATATTAGAAAGAAAACCAATCTACATTTCCCTTAGTGTTTGATACCTGAGCAAATTCTGACAGGTAGAATGTCCAGATATGAGATGATACTTGACTATTATCATTTTGGAATATGCTATTTATTGTTCATAGCAAGACAAGTAGGATACATAATCTAAATCTAGTGTAGAGAAGAATATAGCAAAAGAGCAACATCCACAGATGCCATATTGCTTCAAGCTGTAGAGGTGATTGATGGGGAGTATCAGTGCGCCATACAGACTATTTTCCACACTAGGACTAAATACATTGAATTAGACTGTCACTGGATAACATATCAATAATTGATGACACTGATGGTCTTCCAAAAAATGCCTCATTATTTTATATTGGGAAATTTATTAAAATATGCTGAGCATCAACTATTTAAATTTCACCCATTTTCAATTATTCCAACTCTTGAAAGTGTATCTTTTGATGGTCTTTTCGAAATTCAATCAAAAGAAATGGGCAAAACGTTTGATAGTTCATCACACATAATAATTTCGAAAAAAAAAAAAGTTCAATAGCTCATCTCTTAGGTGTATTTGGAAAAATATGTTTTATATTGGGGGCAGTTTCGTATTTATTATGTGTATCTAAACTATTACACTTGAATGAATGTGATGCCATTTGTTTAACCAGAAATACTCTTTGTATGTAACAGTATTATTCGTTATTTTTCCTCCTCTCAACTTAATACCTTCCTCAAACACTCGTATTCCCAGGTCATCAAGAGTTAAAAGTCCTGAGTTTATGAGTGCAAGTGGGTGTGACTCTCATATGCAAGACAAAGGCCACATAAGCTGTAATTCATAATGTTCCTCAACAAAAAACTTGTAAGAACTTAAGAGGAACAAGTAAAGATGGATAGTCATTGAAAATTTCATTAAGCTAAAGAATAAATGTTATCCTTAGACACAATTTGCCCTTCCAGAATGTCGTGAAAGATGAATTCAAGACCTCCACTGTATGTTCAACAATAGTACATGCAAAACATCGTTAAACAGAGATTAAAAATTTCAAGACCAAAATACTGGTCACACAACTTATGTTTCAAGAAAATAATGGTCCTCCACCATTTAAACCAGTGTCTTAAAAAATGTTAATCCAGATTGGAAATCGTTGTAGACTGAACCTGTTCTGTGAATATATCAGGAATCAAGTGGTTCTAGAATGAACCAACCGTTTCCATCAAGGAAGTACACGATCTGGCATGGCTGGATCATTCAGTACCCACTTTGTATTTTTTAATATTTTTATTTTTGCTTTCAATTATTTTTATTTTTTTATGGCCCCATTCTCTCGGCCCCATTGCTGATCTGGATAGGTGATTCCACAATCTGGACCGGTTTCCCAGATGGCTGGTTCACCTGACTGATCCGAGTTTTTAAACATTGGATTAAACCAATGTTGCACAAAAGACAAGACAATGTCAGTCATAGATCTAAGGTAACAACGAAAGTAACACATCTTCCATCTCCAAGTGCAAATGCCAGATTTAGTGAAACAGAATGCATCATACAACTAAGAGTGTGCAACTGGCCAATACCTCATGGTCTTACAGAATGAATTACCACATCAATAACCTAATGGCTCTTACAGATGTTGATGGTACAACAGAATGTACTGAATTTCTAATACACAATAATGAATTCATATGCCACGAACCTGTGATGTAACGAGGACAATCAAGTAACCCAGTCCAAAAGCATCATGGTTCATATTCAGTGTCGGGGAATCGCACTGAGCGACAACCTGCAAAATTCAAAATATAAACAATAGCAACCGGAGGGCAACATTAGCCAGTTGATATAGGAAAGCAAAGAGAACAGAAAGAAAGAAGCGGCCAATCCATAAAGACAATTCAAATATTCAACTACGCACACACAGAAAAAGAGAGAAAGAGATTTGCACATTCATTCAAAATTTCGTAACGTATTAAGAAAGGGTGCAGTTGGCATACGGATGCATCCGTAGCTGTAGAGGTAAGGTGCGCCTTCAAATTTTATCATGGTATATAATTTTGATGTAAAATGTTCTTAGGATTATCTTAAAATCTATTTTTATATCTAATAATAAAATTTTAAATTTAAAAAATGGTTAAAATCAAGTAGATCTATAAACATATGAAAATCTTGAAAATTGACAGTATAGATAATATGTTGTAAAATGCACTATTTCTGAGACTTAAAATTTTTTTATTTTACATCGTCATATATCTCGATGTCGAGATGATCAATCAAAGGGTTTTTCAACATTAAAACTACCTTTTCCAATGGATTTTTGAGGTGCATCCATAGCTCTACATTATAAGGTTGCAACCTTATATAAACTTTTTCCATTAAGAAAAGCTATATAAGTTATGCCCAAGGGCATTCCAAGATCATAATAAAAAAAAAACTGACGTGGTGTGAGGTCTACCCATGCCATTCATTTAGTAGAAATACAAAAATTCTAGAGAATTGTGCCCAAAAGCATTCCAAGATCAATCCAAACTATGTAGTAGTCTAAGGCCAAGCAGTCTGTTGAATTACAACACTTTTGGATTTTCAACTTACTAATAATAGATGGACAATCCTGACAAGGATTGGGTGCCATTATCATCACCCAAAAACAGAGAGCCATTGTCATAAGAAAACATTTGCAGAGAATTCCATTTTGTTTTCCCAAAAATATAATTCTGACACATGGATACTTTAACATGGGTTCATATCAGTTCAGATACATAAAAAGAAATGCCAAAAAAAAAAAAAAACTGATAAACTAATACTGTTAGCTGTTCACAGTTGTATCTCAATGCAACATAGTTTCCAAATGAGCAACTAGATGCTAAAGTACAGAAACCCCCAATAAAGTCAACAGGTACACATTCCTAGGCCAAGTCAAGCATCTCGAATAGGAGGATTGCTAGAAGGTATGTCCCACTCAAGCTGGCATAGACTTGTCATTCTAGTGAACTTGGTGCACAGAACATGAGTAATGCCTTTTATCTACTCTTAGATGCACTCATATAAGGATTGTCATATGGACCTAAGTTTCTAAGGATGGAAGTGAGTTAGCTTCACCCTGATTTGCACCTTGCATTGTACTTCACATGCTCTGGTGAGCAAATTGATTTGGCATTGGTCATTAGTTAACTCCCTACCCCCCCCCCCCTCGTTAGTACATTCATTAGAAGCTAGAACATTATTTGGTGTTAGGGCCACTCACTCCTAGGAACGGCAACCATTGATTCTGAGAAGATTCAGATTCAAAGCTTCATCGTCCTACTCCAATTATGAATCTGGCATCTAATAATTAAACATGTAATCTTGCAAGAAATCAAGATTAAAAATATGACTGTACATCGCTAATGAGCCATCGGATCAACTTGTGAATTTATTGGTCAAATAACGACCAGAAACAGATTTCTCACGTACATGAGAACACAAGTTTAGTTTTCCTATCGTAGCCTATTTCGCAGAGAGAAGAGAGAATCAGGATATTAATCAAAAAAAATTTGTGGTTTTCTATTAATGATGCATCAAGATGTACTTGGATGGATTTCGGTTATAAAAACAAAGTTCACAATGTTTTTCAAATTTCCATTCCATGTTGTTAAACCTTTTTATGATCTTTTTGTGACTACTTGCCTTCGTAGTATTCTTTCTGAAAATGGGTCCTTCTATGTTTTCACGCCTTTATGCCCCCAACAAAAATGGAGGAGCCAAGAAGAAAAATAAAATTTGTTAGCATTCTCTAGTATCCTCTTTTAAATTCATGATCCAATACATTTTACTAAGGAAATTTTACTAAGGAAAAAGTTGTCGATGTGCTTACGCAGAGGTTGAAAGAATGAACAAGGAGGCATTCAGAAGGCTGAACTCAGGAGGGAGGCATTGCACTTGGTTCAAGAGTTGGATCACAAAGAGGACTATAGTTCACTCATACAGGAGGAACAAATACATGGTTTGGCTGATCTATGAAAATCCATTGTGCATCGACAAACCAGGGCTACTTGTTTCTATTCCATTCTATCTCATCGTATCACAATCTACGATATTTGAGAATCACCGTCAAGCCAATACCTCGGTGTACAACCAGGGATAATCCTTTGTTCGATAGCCCTGGGTGCATCAACAAATCACTGATATCTGACACAAACTTTTTCTAGGTAGTTCATAAATGATGGCAAGAGGGACTACCCAGTCCTTTCAATCAAGGTCCAAGGAGGAGACATGAGAATCAGATAGGGTTGGAGACAAATAATACTGATTGCCTTTAAACATTGTACACTCAGGATTTTTTATTCTAGAATGCAGATTGACTGCATATTGTTTGATTCTTTAGCAGGGCATGCAGCGCAGGCTTCAGAGGCTCCTTTCAAAAAGGAGAGTTAAGTAGTTTTGTTCACCAAGGATAGTGATCATGCCCTTAGGTCAAATGGTTTTACGTTTTAGGAGTTATGGGAGTTGGTCAGATCAAATCTCGTCGCAATGTTTTAAGGGAGGGTCCCATGAGTTGAAAGCGACATGCATAAGTCATATTCCCAAGATGTCAAATGTGGACAACATTGAGGATTATAGGCCTGATAGCTCTCAGAAGCCTTCAATAAGCTAATGCATTGACAACCAGATTGAGGAAACTTATTTTGTGATTTTGTCATCACAATGCTCGTACAACGCAGACAGTTTTGGGAGTTCAAACAGTGGCCTCAATGCCCATGAGTGGATAGATTCAAGACAATGGGTGGGTGTCATAGGTGATGTCATCAAGTGGATTCGGAGAACGACTACAATAATGTGATCAAGCTTTTCTTGATTATGACACAGCAAGGATAGGTTTCGAAGCTAGATGATAGAGATGGATGATGGCCCATGTATCCCTATGGTTTCTGATGATGGCCCATGTATCCCACCCTATGGTTTCTGATGATGATTCACTAGGTTAACCCATATGTTCTTTAGAACTTGAGGATTCTCGGCCAAGGTTAACCTATTGTGACTGTCTCACTTCAATTTGGTGATGGAGGTGCTTAGTTGCTCATTGAGGAGAGCCTCACCAACCATCAAATTCACAACACCACCACAACTTGCATTTAATCATAATAACAGTCCTCAATTGGATATTTCAATCTCTCGCACTATGGCAGATCCATTCCCTCCTATTACAATCTCTAAGAAGGTAAGCTTACTTACTTTGAAATAGATACAAGGTCAACTCATACTACATCTGTCAGGCATTCTCTACATGTAAATCCTCTAATTCTTCCTTTGGTGCACGCAACAACTCGTAAAGCATTTATTTTGACTTAAATTCACATGCTATTTCTTCCGAAATAAATATATAGTTTTTCCCTTGTATGTAGCAATGGGATTATAGAATCACAAAACATTGCCATTAGAAATTATCCAAATAACGATCACTTGGGCCACTACAAGACAAGTAACGTTCAGCTAAGAAGATATTCGCCCTAATTCCTACCTACCTAAATACATACACACATACATACATACATACAATATGTATATATATTATTATTGCAGTATTAGTCCGTGATTAGTCCGATCAGTCCTCTTCTCCACTATATTAATAGGATATCTATAGGGACTCTCTGATAATAAACATGGTTGAATGTCGTATTTTTCCAAAATCAGCAGTTTAAAACTACCTATCTCATAGATACAAAGAGAATACACTAGTTACAATTTTTAAATCCAAACCTCCTAGTTGTTGCAGAGACAAATCACAATTTCGAGCAGAAACTAATTCGAGTTGTTATAATCCTGTGTGAGAAAATCGTGGACATGATGTTTATGTTTATCCACATGCATTGGCGGTAAAGCAAGAGTGAAGGAGGGGAGTAATTTTAGAATCACTCTTGCATAGAAAGATAAATGTAGAAAATGTTGAGAGAACAGCCATTGTCTATTCTTTCGCTTGTTTTCAGAGAGGCTAATGTGGTGGCAGACTCCCTTTAAAAGAGTTGTCAAAAGGAACTCTTTGGAGGGCACGCCCCCCAGATTTCATTACATTTCTTTTATTTTTTCATGTAGCTGGTTTGGCCCTATGATAGGGTCGCAATATAATTTTTCTTTGTATCTTCCTATTTTATATAATGGAAAACGGCTAGGCGCCCTATCCTTACTGACTTTACCCAAAAAACGAAAGAAGAAAAAAAAAAAAAAAAAAAGACCCGTCTATATTAACATCTAGAAGAAAAGAAAGAAACAAAAACATAAATTGTTGAATTGAGTTAGTCACCTAAGATCTAATTAATGCAATAGTCGCACACAAAGTTCTTTGAAGCAAAAACTTAATCCAATTTTATATATATTACCATTTTGGCAAATGCTGATATTGAAATAGACTGGGGGCATGCAGGATCTTGAATAATTTCGACCAAGTCATGTAACTTAGAGCTGCAGAAGTACAAGAAAAAAAAGATATAGGAAACAAAAGTCAAAGTCAATTACATCATTCTAAATTAACAAGTTTGGCATATAAAGTTCGAATATATAATCGATAGCAAATATGACAACACTCCTCATACAGCAATACCAGAAAAGAATATAATAAGAAATAAGAATTGGAGAAGATAAAAGCAAGTGACGCAGATATTCAACAACAAGAAATTATTCCTCTCAAACTTTAGCCCTATGATATATGATGCTTTATAGTAATACAATTTCAATTATCCATACAGCATAAGATTACGAAAACAAATTTTAATAAAAATTTATCTGTCAATAAGTTGTAAGACCAAAGTGTCGAAGGCTCAACACTTTTCTACTGAACATGACTAGTGTGGAAAGAATTCAAACAAGGAAGAGGCAAGTATAGTTTTTGAGGTTGGGACAACCATAACCTTAAATAGAAGGGTAAAACAAATAATACAATGCACAATAGAGGGTTTATGCATAGGCAACTATCTATTTTAAGTTCCAAATAAATTCTAGCTCATTCAACACCTCCCCAAAGTTGCACAACAAATACAAAGTACTGCTATCTTGAATATGCATAACTAGAACTTCTCTTAAAAGAAGGTAAAGCTAAAATATTGGTCAATTGATTTCAAACATAACATAGTTGGCCTTTTAATGGATCACATGATCTCGAGTAAAGTAGCAATCCATCATTATCAGCTTGGCATGCTCGTAATATATGAAATTTTAGGAAATATGAAATGCACTTAGAATATCAAGGCTTTTTCAACATGAAATTCTAAGGCCCCATTTGGGGCATAGGTTTTTCAAAATCCATTTTACCTTGTTCGTGTCCCCTTTTTCATTCCAAACCAAGGTTTCCACTCCCTGTTTCCTTTTTCATTCCAAACCAAGGTTTCCAGTCCCTGTTTTGTGAGGACTTGGAAATTCTCGAAAACACTGGGTATCTCCAAATCTAGTTTTTAGCAAACCAGGTTTAGATTGCCAAAAATTTTCAACTCACCAAAGATCCCCTTCCGTCCTCTCCCCACCCTGTCACAGACCACCTTATCTCTCTAAAAATTGAAGACCTCTCTCCACCCTGCAATTCTTTCATCACAGACCACCTCGCATGACCCCATAACTCAACCAAAGACCTTCTCTCATTTCCCAGTAACTCATTTAAAGACCACCTTCTCCCTCTACCCTGTTACTCAACTAAAAAATTGGCATCCAGCTTCCATTATGTTGGGATCAAGATCCCTAAAATACAAGGCATACAAACAATGATACAACTATAGGGAGCCTCTAGCCTATCAATCACACGCCTCCTGATCCAGAACCTAATCGCGAATATGTTTTGTACTCCCTAATTTATTCAGAAAGAATTTTGTTCAATGACAGGATAGTAATTTTCTATCCATAAAATCCTTGGATGCACAAAAGCGACGTCATGTGTCAAACCAACATCATTAAAGCTCAGACAATTGTTTGATCACATTTTTAATGTCTGGATAGTTGTAAGACAACATCATTAAAGGCTGGACAAAGCATAATTGTAATTACTACTTCATAGTTGACGGGATTGGAAAAGGGATTCAAATGAAGATCCCCATGGTTGAGAGTCTTCCCCATACAATGCATATATAAGGACCGAGATCGCCCAAAATTTTAAGGATCTCGATCCAAACCGTCTGGGGATCTTAATACCGACCTTTTAGGATCTCAAGTTCAACCTTTTGGGGATTTGCTAAAGAGCATGGGGATTTGCTAAAGAGCATAATAGTCTAGAACTATATATTCTCTTTAAAGAAGGAATCTTTTTATTTAGAACCAACAAGCAATGCAGCTCTATTAAAAGTACAGTTACATTGCTGGCTATATGTAAAGAAAATTACATTGCTGGCTATATCCGTTTGGTCATTAACTTCGTCTTTGAGGTGGGAATCAAGATCCCTAATATTGGGGATTGAGATTCCAAGGCTAGAATGCCACCAGTTTGGAAGATCCAAAAACTGCTAGAATGCCACCAGGTTGGAAGATCCAAAAACTATGTACTAGTTTGACCTTATGTTACCGAGCACTATCATTTCCTTCAACCTATAAATTATTTTCTATAATTATGGACAAACTAGTAACTTGACTTGGTGACACATATGCACAAGGGAGCAGTAACTAGTGTGCAAACAACTAGTGGAGCGACGAGTGAATTTTCAGCAACAATAGCTCTATACCAAGGGTCAACATTGAGCCCATACCTCTTTTTTTTTTTCTAACATTAACACAAGCTTTCCATTAATCTCAAGTACGGTTTATAAGATGTACAATAATAACAGAAAATCCAAAAAGATTAACAACCAAGGAAGAGCAGATAACTCCCCCCTTGGCAAGACAATCTGCTTCCTCATTAGCCTCCCTATAACAATGACGAAGATCAGTATTAAGGATCGAAACCTTATCCCTAATTTCATGAAACAAAGGACCTTAACCTCCAAGGACTATTTGATATCTCCTCTACTCCAAGCTATAACATTCGCCGTATCTCCTTCGATTATCTTTCCACCCTCCCATCTAGAAAGCAACTTCAAACCTTCTAACAAGCCACGAGCTTCAGCCTCGTTAGAGGTAGTGAAACCACATGGGCCAAAATATGAGCATAAGATGTGACCCAAACTGTTTCTAATCAGTCCACCATAACCAGCTGCGCCTGGATTGCCAAAACTACTTCCATCAAAGTTCAACTTGATTGAATTAGTAGGAGGCGGAAACTACACAGCAGCTCTTCGATTAGTGTTAACAAAGGCCAAAATTGCCACTGCCAAAGGATCATTAATAATTTGGCTCTTAGGAGTTAATCAACTATCTTTATGAGATGAAAACCAATCTGGTGCTAAAGCCATAATATTCAATTTTAAGATGGAGAGCTCTTTGCAAATCCCTTCGAATACCCTTCTATTTCTCTCCTTCCACAAGCCCCAAATGACACTTACCCAAATAGAGCGCCAAAGAAAAGTACTCACCCTCGGGATACCAGGAGTCAGCCATTGGTTAATGAGTGATCTACAATCTGCTGGGACAAGTAGGGAAAGATTGATGCTCTAACGAGCCCAATCCCAAAGGTTAACGATGAAGGGACATCGAAGAAACAAGTGTTGGGCCGTATCGTCAATAGCTTTACATACAATGCAATATTGCAGCCCCGCTTCCTTAGGTTGTTATCCACTGTCGCTAACTTGTCTTTACACAAGATCCATAATAACAATTGTACTTTTAGAGGTACATGCAATTTCTAGATAACAAAAACCTTGGATCCAATTGTCTACTGCAATCGCAAAGCAATAAAGCATATGCTAATTTGACCGAAAAATCTTCTGAGTTAGAAAGATCCCAAATAACGGCATCCTCTTGATTAGGAGTAAGGAAGACATTGTTTAACATATCAAACAATGTTTTGATATTCTGGAATAAAGTTATCTGTCACTCTTTTGTACCTGCAATGAATAGACCAAACAGTGTTAAAATAAGCATCCCCACTAGCCTCTTTAATCGAGACTAGTGGATTAGTAACTTTTGAGCCCATACCACTCTATCTTAATTATGGACGACTTAACAAGGCATTTACAAGATGTGCTACCGTGGTATATTTTGCTCACAGATGATATAGTTTTGATCGATGAGATCCGAAGCAGCGTCAACGCAAAGTTAGAACTTTGTAAGGATACCCTAGTAACTAAAGGTTTTAAAATTAGCCAGACTAAGACAAAGTATATGGAATGCAAGTTTAGTAATAATAGGAGTAGAGACAAGGAAGTAGTTAAAGACTGACGGCCAAGAAATACCAAAAAGAGCGTACTTTCAATAGCTTGGGTCAATCCAGGAAAATAGGGAGATTGAGAAGGATGTCGCACATAGAATTAGAGCTGGGTAGGAGAAGTGAAGATGTGCAACCGGAGTTTAATGTGATCGCCGCATATTAATGAAGCTCAAAGAGAAGTTCTATTGGACAGTTGTGAGGCTAGTTTTGCTTTATGGTCAGAATGTTGGGCAGTCAAGAAACAACATACCCAACGGATGAGCGTAGCTGAGATTAGGATATTGAGATCTATGAGTGGCAAGAAAAGAAGGGATAGAACTCAAAATGAATACATTCAAGATAACTAGATGTGATTCCAATAGGCCATAAGATGAGATAAAGTAGACTTAGGTGTGTTAGTTATGTGCAGCACAATCCCAGTACAAGACCTATTAGGAGGTGCGAGTTGGTTTAAGTAGAAGGCTCGAAAGGGCAAGGGTAGGCCCAAAAGGATATAGTTGGAAGTAGTGAGAAAAGATATAGAGACTTATAGCCTCACTGAAGATATGGCCCCTAATAGAGCAGAATGGCGGACCAGAATTGGTGTAGCCAGCCCCAAATAGTTGGGAAAAAGCTTTGATGATGATGATGGACAAACTAGTAACTTTTCCCATGCTTGGACAGTTGTAGATAATAGCACTAATACCTAGATATTGCATCAAAGTAACTATTGTTTTCCCTTATATTAATATTACCTAAAATACTATTGTTCGCATGCATACAAGGAATAGAATTTTTCCATCAAAAAAGGGTGAATTTTTTTTTTTTATGATGCCATATTCATGGCCTAAGAAGCACGTTCCCCTTTATTAGAAAAATGTGATCCACCTGCATCCCTCACTCTGAAATGCAGGATCGCAATGCAAGGGCAAGACTTGACACCTTGGAATGGCTATCCTAGTAATTATCTGCGGATCCAATGGTTCAAACTCCACCTGAATTTCTCCTTGCAAGTCTATCACGAACCAATCAAGTTCACAAGTCAGCCTTGAGCAAGTTGATTTTTTAAACAAAAATAATCACAAGGACCAAAGATTGTTAGTAAGACTGTTTACTTAAATATGTGCACTCCATCTCCTTGAGAGCTGTCAATGCAACACAACATTTTAGAAAGTACTAGTATTCTACAAGATACTATACAGCATCATTTCTCAAACCTACTGAATACAATTTTCCCTCATGATTTTAGTGTATAGTACACTTTGTATATGTGCTTAGATCATCTTTCTACATTTTTGCATACTACTAGTTTCTCCAATAATTGGATAAAATTGTAAGTCACTGATGTCTATAAACTGGCAGCAATAACAAATAAGACACCAATAAAATGTAAAACTGAATACATGCTAGGGGTCTTCTTCAGCATATATGAACATTTATCCCTCACCTTATATTCAACTGGCTACCGGTTATTTGGCGTACGCGTAAGTAAATTTTTTGTTCAAAGCTTTTGAATTCCTACATAAAGAATTTAATGCAATGAGTGAACCAGCATCACCAAAAATAATATCTCATGTGTTTTACTAGCAACAAGAAAAACTAACATATGAGCCTCAACATTTTAAAAATACTGAATAGCAAAAACATTAAAAGTTACAAAATAATATATGAAGCAACAGGATAGAGGAATGCATAAAATAAAGGGAAAATTACAAAATACTATCTATACAACTTACCCACCAGCTAACCTTTCCTCTCATTGTTTTCCCCACAACCACCTTTCCTAACAAATACCCCCCCAATCCAAAAAAAAAGACAAAAGTGACTAAACTACCCCCCTCTCTCTCCTCATGGCTTTTACCCACGACTCTCTTTCCATGCGTTTTACCCACGCGCTCCAGCAATGCATAGACTCACTTCGGCAATGAAGACACGCACTCTAGCAATGCAGAGGGTCGCTCTGGCAATGAAGACGCACTCCAGCAATGCAAGGACTGGCTTTGACAATACACCTTCTGCAGCCACAACACACGCTCCAGCAATGCAGAGGGTCGCTCCGGCAATGAAGACACGTGGTCTAGCAATGTACCATGAAGACACGCACTCCAGCAATGCAAGGATTGGCTTCGGCAGTACACCTTCTGGAACCACAGCGCTCCGACAGTTGAATAGGTCACTCCAGCAAGACAAGCGCTCTGACAGTACAAAGACGTGCTCCAGCAGTACACCTTCTAGAGCCACATTGCTCCGACGGTTGAATTGGTTGCTCCGGCAATACGCTACTTGGGACTGCCAATTGACTGTTTTTTTGTATGAAAAGTGCATTTCCATCCAAAAAATAACAAATTTTTACCTTGGGGGGTTTTTGCGAGAAAAGCTGGTTGTGGGGAAAAAAGTGAAAGGAAAGGTTAGCTGAAGTTGCATAGATAGTATACTTGGTGGGGGGGGGGGGGGGTTGTTTGTAATTTTCCCTAAAATAAATACACAAAGGCAACATAGACAATTAAAAGGAAGGAAAAGGTCTCGGTTAAAAGGATAAAAATTACAACAAACTGATATATGATTCCCCTAGTGCCATGAAGTACAATGTGTGGTCTAAAATTCAAGAGGGGAAAATATAGTAAAACAGAAATGGATAGCGCAAATCAGTAGTCCAATCCCGCCCCTTCCCTCATCAATTTCTACAATGTTGGCAACCTACAAGAGTGTATCATCATCCATCCAAGCCTTATCCCAAATATTTGGGGTCTGGTACCTGCCCTACAAGAGTGAATGAGTAGGCTAAATAGAAGAACCTGAGTTACGCAAGACCCTCAATATTTATAATCAACCACTAACCAAATAAGATGCGGGCAAAGATCATGGACAAATGGAGACAGATATAGCAATAGGCGAACAAGGAGAAAAATGAGAAGAGAGAGGAAAATGGAAAACAAGTGAATAAAATCAAACTTAATGCTAAAAGTTCCCAAATGTCAAGGAAACAATTCCAACTTCGTCCATGGTTAACCAATTTTGCATCTTGTGATGTGGCAAAATGGGCATCCAATACATCAAACTCTCTTTGATGAGGTTTGTAGGCACCACTAATATGGAGAATGTTTTCGAGCCCACCCAATGATATTTGAGGAATCAGCCTCAACCCATGCGGATGCAAAAAGAAACTCAATAAAGATTATCATTTCTTCAATGAAACTCATGCCTCTGCTTCAAATGTATCACAATTTTCTAACAATTTTCCAGGTGGATCCAAGTGGCCTCAAGAACAAGGATGAAGCTATATCTGATGTCACCTCAAACCCGCACTAGACAATGAATCCAAAGCAAGATACCAAAGCCACAAGGATATATTACACTGTAACACCCCAAAAGGATGTGTAAATGACTTAAGTCCTTCATGTGGAATAGGTTTTGAAGTTAAATCTTCAGCAAGAAATGCAGTATCAATCGTCATAAATGTGCCAAACAAACTTTGAATACAGCAAGGCTAATGAAAACATTAAAAATCAAACCAAAATGGAACAAAAAAGGAAAAATGGGAATAAGGCTTGGTTCTTTCACTTAAGAAGATTATGGATTAGCACTTAAAGTGCTGGACTATTGTCAGTAAAGGGACTAGTAGTAGAAACCATAGTTGTTGGAAACACCTGGGAACCCGAACGGTTTTAGGAACCGGAATCACGGCCGGCTAGAGGATTCCTGCCTTAGGAATCGTTGTTCGTACAATAGGAATCGTTAGAAACGAGATTCCTAGTTTTTGTTAATCATGTTTCGACCGAAATAGATCCAAGCTTCATCCACCTATGGAATCGAGATTCAGTCCTCCTTGGAATCGGGATTTCCATCCCCCTGGAATCGACACTCCAGGAGTCAAGATTCTTTAATATGCGGAATTGAGTTTTTGACTTATGTGGAACATAGATATGTTGTTGTTTCGAATCGTGATTCTAACATATTTGAAATCAAGTTTTTAAAGTATATAAATCAGAGATCCATGTCAGTTTGAGATCGAGATTTACAATGATATGGACTATGGAATGTGTTTGACGACCCCTGCTAGGACTCAAGATTTCTTTCGTATGGAGAAGGAAGCCACAAGCACATCTTGAACCTCATCAACTTTAGAACCTATATTGGATGTCTCTTATTAAAAGGTTTCCCAAATTTTAAAATGATCATGTTGACTATTTAACTTATGGTCATTATATACAAAAGACAAGTAATCCTAAATTGTGATTTTGACTTCATTATTATAAAGACAAAATAGGATTATATCTACGTCATGGTTTTACTTTTAATGTATGCGTTGTATTTACCAATTATATTTTAAATTTAAAGTACAAGCTATCCAAGGCGGCACAAGTAAAATAATGAAACCCTACAACCACTAAAAGCATTCGATATATTTGGGAACGTCTACCCCCAATTAATGGGTACAAGTTTTCAAAGATGTGTTGGATCGAGATTCTGAAATTAAGGAATCCAGTTTCCTTGGTTCCGATAAATAGTTTCTAAAGACGTGTTGAATCGAGATTCCGAAATTAAGAAATCGAGTTTCCTTGGTTCCGAAAAAAGGTTTCTAAAGATGTGTCAAATCGAGATTCTGAAATTAAGGAATCAAGTTTCCTTGGTTCCGAAAAACAGTTTCCGTGGAGATTCTTTAACAGAAACGCAGAATCGGGTTTCGGAACCGGAAACGCGAGGTTGTTGGAGAGATTCCGGTTACTATGGTAGAAACACTTGCAATTTTCCTTTTAATGTGAATGTCCTCATTAGTCTGACACTCTTAGAACTGGACCAAAGTTCATGCGGTGAAACTCTTGAAATATCCAACAAAAGAGCACAACAAAAATGCCACATGGAGCTTCAAGTTTATTCTTTAGAAGTTGAAGTAAAAGGTTGTGATTATAAACACTTATCAATCAAAGGGTTGAACAGTCCCAAAAGCTTCCTGATCTTCTGGATTTAATCTTGGCAGTCAGTTTCTATATATCTAGGGCACCCACCTAGTATGTGGAATTGTAGGCACCTTAGTGAAATTTGCCTCGGAGAGCTATACCATCAAATATCAGAAAAATGAGCTTTAATCGAGAAGGAGGATGCGGGGAGCAGAGGCCACAAATCAAACCAGACAGCTTGGCACATAGCATTTAGTTAATAATATTCATCATCATTTTAGACCTCAATTTTTCATGAATCACAAAAATCAATTCCTGCAATGTGCTCTTATAGATGACAATAGTAGAGCAGCAAAAAAGCAATTGACAGACTAGCTATCAATTCTCTAAAAATAAAAAGATTTGTATCCCAAAGATTATAAAGGTGACCTGTAAATCAATCACTCGCAATTGTATTAGTGCAAGCTTCTCTACAGATTCAGAGATAGGTCTCCCTTACTTGTTTAAGATCCTTGATGATCCACATGTTTTAAGACTAAGAAAAATGTCTTGCAAATTCCCCAATCCAAAATAAACTATGCCTCCAAATATACAACTGACAAAAATGAAACAAATAATTTAAGAAAGTCAAGACATTGACATCAAAAACTATTCATCTACAGCTTACAGGTAATTGATATCCCAGTACACCACATACAAATTAAGGCACACTGATGGAATTTCGAAGTACATGATGAAAAAAAGGCATATAGAAACTCATATTAGCAGATAAAACTCACATTGTTGGAGCTTGTTTTCAAAGAACGGTTCTGTTGCTCTAAATCCTCAGATTTGCCAATTCTATCTGCCTCGAGTTTAGCAGCAGTTTCAGAAACTTTAGTAATGATCCCTGTCATACACAAAGTAGGTCTTTATCCCGGAAAATGAAAATGTCTATCTCCCATAGTAAAATTCAGCACAACTCAGTCTATGATTCTCCGGAAAAAAAACATGCACTTTGTACAGTTTTGTATTGAAAAAAGCGACATATTGAATCTACAAGAAAGCCACAGGATACATAATAATCCAAAATAAAGTTTCAAAGAGCATGATCAAATATTTTGAAGACAACATGTAGAAAGGACCACATTTACCAGGATCTTACAACCAATGGGACAAATTTTCTCTGAAATTTTGCTCTTGTGCTCCAACAAAGGGAATCTCGCTCCTTCGAGATTTTTAAATTCTGGAATCTTGATCCCTCCTATTCGGAATCGAGATTCTGAGTATAGGTGAGCCATATACCCTAGCTTTCTAGTAGAGCATAGCAGTATATGGTATAGTACGGTAGTGTGGCATAGTATAGCAGTATGATACAGTGTAGCAATATGGTATAGTATGTTATAGTACTATATATATGTTTGGTATAGTACATATTATAGAGTTACTGCATAGCAAAATTAAATATATTAGCATATAGTACAGTACATAGTTACCAAGACCCAACGCAAGGGCAGATCCTGGATTGGAATTGGGACTATGGAATTGAACGATGTCGAATATCCTTGAATGAGGGATGAGAACTGTAAATCTTGAAGTAAAGAGTTCGAGTTCCCAATATGAGGAGAGTAGGATCGAATGATGAAGTATATGCAATCACTGTCTGTCAACCTTTGAACCAAGGCTACTTATACTCTAGTTCGGGAACGAATTCCATAAAACAATACATTTAATCTTCTTTCTGAATTTAAGACCAAAGTATCGTAAATACAAGAACATCATCTTTAAAATACTCTTAAAACTTTTAGTTATGCAAGAAACTAAGACCCAATATGAGGATTCAAATCTCAATCCTCAGACTCTAAAGAAGCTTTAGTGTCCTCGACCTTGTTTCTCTTCATTTCGGCTCCTTCACTCACATGCCATTGGGCAACATGTTCAATAGGAGAGTAAAATTCTCCTCTCTTTTGCTCTCCTGCACTTTGCTAATGTAAAAACCCAATTTTTTTTACTCTCTCTCTCTCTCTTGGTGCTTTCCAATATACAAAAATTTGGCCGCCTGACCGCCTACACAATGTTCTTTCAAAAGTTCCTCAAGCTGTGCCTTAAAAAGAATATGACAACATTCTAAGAAAATCACTATTTCCGATTGAAGAGATTTCCTATAGATCATAGATGTTGAAAGACATTGGAGAGGGATAAAGAAACATTAGTGCATAGAAAAATTACTGCATAAACGGCCATAAACATTACTAATTCTAAATTATGTTTGCACTGTCCATCAAAGCAAGCATTGAGTACAACAAAATAAAAGATTTTGTAACACACCATACAGCACCAAACAGATTTCATAAAACACACTATTGTTTATGAGAAGAATTGTCTTCAATAATCAATAGGCCAATGTGCCTTGAACGTTTTTGTACCTGTTGATTGCAATTTAAGAGAATTATCAACTCTTGTCAGTTTCTCAGAGGTCTCAACAACATTTACTTTTTCCAGTGCAGCTTCCTCAGACTTTCTCATGATTTCAGCAGCTTGCCTTTCTGCAACTTCTGCAGCAACCTTTCGTGCAACTTCTACAGCTGCTTTCTGTGCAGCTTCAAAGGCTCTTGCAGACTCAAGTCTAGCCTGTTTGAGAAGAGAACTATTGGTACTTCACAACAACAACAAAGCTGAAATACGTGAAACATAGTATGCCATTGAAAACAAGGATGCCCTCATGAATCAAGAAGAGTGTCTAGCAAATACATCTGCAAACTTGCTAGGAAATAATCTAGTTTAGCAGACTGACAAAAAAAAAAAACCAAAAACAAAATGTGTACGTCTGGGTAACATTAAAATGAGATACACCCATAAATACTAGGAGAATCATATGGAAGACCTGAGCCTTGAAGCGTAAAAATTGCAAATCATAATTGAATCACAATAAACCAAGCAAACAGCACCTGAGCCTTGAGGCATAAACATTGCAAATCATAATTGAATCACAATAAACCAAGCAAACAGCACCTGAGCCTTGAGGCATAAAAATTGCAAATCATAATTGAATCAGAATAAACCAAGCAAACAGCACCTTAAATCATCGAGTTATAACATTATATGCATGTTTATGATTCTACTTCACATATTTAGGAAGAAAAATATAGTATTCAATTCATGGAATAGGCATGTAAAGCTCTGACATGAAAATAATTCAAAAGTAGGAATGTGATCAATGTGATTAAGCCAACCGGGGGGAAGTAGAGACAATAAGGGAATAACGGAACATAAAAAGAAGAAATGCATGGAAGGAGGATGGGTGGGAAAAAAACAGGCTAAGAGGAGTTAAAAGTCGAACAACTTCAGCAATTTGGCATTTCATAATGAGAGGTCAATAGGGTTCAAGGAATGTCGGAGGTAAGGACTGGTTTCAAGGTTAAGAGTCATGCACAACGTTCTTTATGAGTTGCTAGTCATGCACTTTGGTTTGTCCAATGCACCGAGCACATTTATACATACGATGAAGCCAGTTTTAAGGCCATTCATTGGAAAAATTTTGGCCGCATACTTTGGTGACATTATGATATACAGCATCAGCTGAGATCATATGTACACTTGCAGCGAGTATCAGAGATAATGAGGGAGAACAAGTTCCATCTCAACCTCAAGAAGTGCACAATAAAAATTTACATTTTGTGCCACATTGTTCTGGGGAAAAGGACTACGGTTGATCTAGCTAAGGTGGAAGCAATTAAGAGCTAGCCGACCCCGAGTGCCATTGGTGATGTGCATAGTTTTCAACGTCTTTGTTCATTCTATAAGATTCATTCAAAATTGTAGCATTGTGAATTCCCCTATCAGTAATTGCATAAAGAAGAGAGTTTTCAAATTGTAAATAACAAAATAACAAGTGCAACGGCGTTGGCACTTCCTAGTTTTGAGGTCTTTGAAGTGGATTGCAATGCCTCCCATGTTCGGATAAAAGCAATGCCGTCCTAGGATCGGTGACTTCTAGAATTCGTTTGTGAAAAAATGAACCATTCAATCTCTTTGACATTGGAGGTATTATTTGATTCAAAGGAGTTTGTGTCACATACAGACCATGAGGCATTGAGATATCTTAATTCTCAAAGTATAAAGGATAGTTAACATGCCAAGTGGGTCACAGATCACATTTTTATAAGGATATACATTTACCCTTGAGCACAAATCTGGAGTTCACAATAAAGTAGCAAATGCCTTGAATCGTTGATTATTCCACCTCAAAACCTTGTCTCACAAAGTGGTGAGTTTTTGAGTCCCTCAGTGCAGTATGATATTGATCCATAGTTTGGTCCCACATGGGATCTTGAAGATCAAAAGGGGTGGAAATTTGGAAAAAGAACAAAATGAAAAGAAAAAAACCCAGCTAAATAAAAATAATAATGTGGATGCATCTAAAGAATCTTCTATTATATGTTATATTGGAGTTCTTAAGATATCCCAGAGGAATACAGCAATTAGGTAATAAAAATGATTAACCTGAGCTTCAGCTTTAGCTTTTTCTAGGCGCTCCTCTTCACGGAGTTTCTCTTTTCTTTTGGCCTCCCCAATCGCTGCCTCCTCCCTAATTCGCCGCTCCTCTATTTGTGATCGCTGCTCATGATCCCTTTGAACAGCAGATAAGTAGAGGTCACGAGCTTCTGCACTGCAGTGATAAAAAGATACAGTTTCAGTGGTAAACCAATGAAAGAATCAAGATGTGTTTCATCAATCCTCAAGCCAAAGATGGATTTATAGATGTACTTTAGCCAAACTTCGAAGTGAGTGAAACAGGAGAGGAGACACTTAGCTCCAGAACAAATAAATCAAATAAAAATTCTTTGAAATACAATACATGCCCCAATAGAAAGAGAGTCCAAAGGCAGATCATCTTGTAATCAAGTACACCACATGGCCAGCATATCAAAGTACATATATGCATGCAACAATTAATAAAGGCTAACACGGTCAATTAGTGCTTTAGCTATTTGTACTTCTACTTTGTAGAACTCAATGGGGTATTTGGTCCACTGCTATTACTGTCTGTTGTATATGGACAACTAACTGTCATTCCCCAAAGAACCTAGAATCATAATGCCCCACCATTCCACAGGGTCTAACAAAGGTCAGTAAATAAAGCATTGTTTGACATATTATGCTAATATTTTCAGGAATGCTTCATAATAAACAAGCAAAATATTCATACAAGATTTAGAACCATGCAAACACACACACAAATTAACTCGATTCATTATTTCACTTTGATTTCCCATTGAGATATTCATCAATGAAGGGAGAATTTGGTTATCATGTACATATCGTAGTGTTGTTAAGGGCCACTTCAGATGGACCACTTATTTAGAAATATTTCCATTTCTCAGCAAAAGGCGATATTTGGTCCTCTCAGCTATTTAAGAGTGAATTCCATTTCTTGCCCCACTTATTTGAAGAACAGTGCTATCTTTACCCCATTCAATTAAAAGAAAAGTAGCTCTTTTCCCCCCTATCTCTAAGTAAACCCATTGAAAAACCAAAGAAGAAAACCTCTTTCTTCCTTATCAGACTCCACGTCTAGCCATAATGACCAATCCAAAGAAACAATGCTTCATATGTGTCTGATCACTCCATGCAGTCATCATCATTCATTTCATCAATCTTTTCATCAATCGTGGGCCTCAAGTTCATTCGCAAACTGCTTCTCAAGATTGCCTTACTTTGGTGTATATCAAAAATTAGTACCAAACTCCTATGGTCTATGGTGATGACCTTAGTGTACGGTATCACCAAGTGTCCAAGAGAATAAGAATTTCAGAGAAGAATGCAGCACTATCAATAAATCTATATCGGATAGCCATAACAAATATACTGGAACAAAAAGAAACGTGCTATTGTAAAATATTTTAAGGAAGTCTTGGAAATGAGAAACAAACATTTTGCGTAGATAATGCTTGTCAAGTTTCTTCTCCGTCTCCCGCTTTGCTTCAATATCCTTCTCTACAAGTAACAGGTCTGAAGATGACCTCTCAATCTCTTTCCTCCACTCTGCCTGCAAAGCACGTACTTTTTCTCGGATTTCTTCCTAAAAACCAAAAAAACCAATGATTAACATGCAACCAGTATATCCAAGTAGTACATCAGGTACGTCTTAAAAGTTCATAAAGCAACCAGCAAACTAACCATGTGACACTAATAAAAATGGGGAATGCCATGCCAGTAAATTAGTATCGATAACTGGTTCAAAGTAAATCAACCGCTCTCACAGCATTACTTAGAAAAATATCAAAGCATCAAGAGTACACAAAATGCACATTGATTTTTACATACACAACCCAAATACCAACCAAAATTGAGCAACACAACGATGACTACAATAATATAAGTCAATGCAATTAGGACAGGGCCTAAGGTAGCCCAAGTGAGGCCCCATCCAAATTAATCAATTTGGACTTTAGAGGTCCAACAAGTTGGAGAATCACTGAAAACTATATAGAAAATATAAAATATTTATAAAGAAGTTTTACGTGAATATGGAAAAAAAAAGTTAGATACATTCAACCTGACATTTTAACAGGCCTTTTTGGGCTTTTATCCAATCAGGGTCCATCCAATGGATGAGAAAATCCCCAATATGTATGCCGATTGAATGTGGATAATCCATAAAAGATAAGAGGTTTTAGTGAAGTCCTTAATTAAACTCTGAGTTGCTAACCATTATAAGTGTTACAATTAAAAGCACCTGGACTCTTAGCTGCCGTTCACGCTCTAATTCAAATAAAAGACCTTCCGCCACTCCTGATTTGCGCATCAGACATGTATCATCTGTTCCCAAATCAGACTCATCTTCAGTTTCACCTGAACTACTACAAGAAAGAAGAGAATGTTGTAAGCATGGGCCAATAGAAATTTTCATCAACTCAAATAATTCCTTTACAATAAATCTAAAGAATGAATGGAATGTTCATATAAGCAATGCAAGCATATTAGAAAGTATTAAGGTGCTCTAAGTATAGATTACAATGCTCCATCAAATAGCAACCCAGAACATCACAGAAGAATCAAAAGCAATGATCACAATTGAAGGATATCTTAGAAACTACTGGTAAATCCAGATTGTTGTTAGCAAAGACAAGAGTATTATCAAAATTAGCAAATAAAAGAATTTGAGCGTAGATTTTTATTGAAAGCAACACAAGTGCAAAATCAAATAACAATTCACTTGCTGTTTGCATACATCTCAGTGCACTTTCATATGTCATGATTGATGACACAAACAATTGATCACATTTGAGTAATATATGTGTCAATAAAAACAATATTATCGACTTAACTACCAAATTAAACATTATTACAAGCTACAAATGTAACACCTTCAGGAATTTGTACCTCAAGAACTCAAAAAATAAACTTAAAAAATTCCCTACAAGTCATTGAGTTGAAGAACTATGTGTTCCAACAGATTTTGTTGTATCATTGCAGGACAATCTTTTCTATATAGAACAACTATTCAACCTAGGGTAAGTTAGAGTTCCGGTCCAGCAGTTTAGTCAACCACAATCCTCAATCATAATAGTAAAGATCACCCCGTCTAGTGGGGACTCTCGGATTTAAACCAATATGTACTCCAACTCTTTATAACAATACAAATGTTAACTTTTATATAAAAAAATCCTAGGAGTAAAGATCACCTGCTTTCAGAAGACGCAAATTATTTACATGGGTACTTCATCCACCAAATGGTCCAAAGTTCTCCGCATTTCAACCTCAACATTTGTTTTGATGACTTGAGTAAACATAAAAACAACCAGCCATGCAATTTATCATTGAAAGAACTGGTGGTTCAGCCACATGCTACAATCAAAAGGTCTTTTTGGCTAAATTAGAATCTAAAGGTTGCAGAAGCCTCCCTCCAAATCTTTGTGTCCAAAAGAGTGGGGGAATGATCCAAATGGATATTGGCATAACACTCATCATCATCTTTATAGCCTTTCTCCAATTAATTAGGGTCAGCTACACGAATCCTGATCCACAATTCTGCTCTATTAAATGTCATACCCTCAGTGAAGTCATAAGTCCACATATCTTTTTAGACCACTTCCAACCAGGCCTACCCCTTGCCCTTTTCAGTCCTTCTACTTGAACTAACTTGCACCTCCTAACAGGTGTTATACTTGGTCGGCACCACACATGGCCAGTCCAACTAAGTGTATTTTCTCTCATCTTATCACCTATTGGTGACACACCTAAATTCTCCCTATGGATTTATTTAAAATTCTATCACTTCTTGTCTTGCCACTCATCCATCTCAACATCTTCATCTCCGCTACACTCATTCTATGGGTATATTGTTTTTTGGCTGCCCAACATTCTGCCCCATAGAGCAAAGTTGGTCTTACAGCTGTCCCATAGTACTTTCCCTTCAGCTTCATTAGTATGCGGCGATCACATAAAATTACAGTTGTACATCTCTACTTCGCCCACCCAACTCTAATTCTGTATGTGATATCTTCTGCAATCTCTCCATTTTCTTGGATTATCGACCCAAGATGGATATTGGCATAACAATAAGACATTTAAATTAAAGTTTGCTATCAAGCGACCAAAATCAGTAAGAATCAGTGATCAGGTCCAGTACTTAAGATTCAGTGATCAGATCCAATACATAACAAAAAAGGCCTCATTATTATTCTAAATGAAGCAAGAAGCAAACTCAATTACATGCTACCATAAAAACAAGCTGCAAGGTGACACACCATGTGAAATTCTCAAATTCCATTCCCCTATAGCATTACATGTATCATTTGTGTGTTCAACCTCTTAGGTAAATTACACATGTTATACTATTCAAGATTTAGAACACCAATCCAAGTACCATTTAGAATCTTTGACAAAGGACATGTGCATGGGATGATTAACAGATGAATCTCATTGCTGAAACTAGAGCAAAGTAAATAGACGACTACGTCACAAGTCTATCATTTGATCACATTTACCCACCCCTGTTATCCTAAGAAGGCATCATTTTCCATTATTTTGGTGCTCATTACTCCATGATCAGCCCTTTCAAGTACAAAAACACCCATACAACCCAATTTACCTTATTTCTAAAGTGACTGATCTCATGGCTGATCCTATAGACCAACTAGGTAATATGAGGTGTCTATGTAACATCAAGATTAAATTTGTGCCTCGGGTCCTAACCATTGATGCAGGAAACACTAAAATCCGTGAGAAACAAAACCAAACACAAGCACAATTCAAATAAAACATAGGTTTCTTCTCCATACCGAAGCTAGGATTGCAGAAGCCTGAGATTTTCTTTTTTCTCAATTATGAAAATCATCTGATTGCCTTCTCCTAAGCCCCCATGCACTTCTTTATAATATTATTTAATGTTCTAAATACAAAAAGTCCAAAAAATATACATTTACCCATATATTCCAACTTAAACTTTAAAATCGTAATGACAATTTTACCCATGTGAACAGCACCTAGGAATAATACCTGTGAACAGCACTCATGAATAGTAACCAGAATATAGTAAATGAGAATATAAGAAAAACCGTAGAATTCTTAAAAAACTGAAAAAACCTAAAAATAAATCCTGAAACTAAAATTAAATATACATCCTTTGAAATTAAACAAATATTAAAAATAAGAATAATATTGCCCTTCATCAACCTTACATATGTTAAATATGGACAATATACACTAGTGATCCCACAAAAAAAAAGGGGTTCCAACCCTACAATTACAACTACAAAAAGTTGTAACGAAAATAACAGTGAAGTATATATTTGTTGCATATGAAACCTATGCTTATTACATCAGATGGGAATGACATGAAACATATAGTAATGGAAAAAGCTTTTATAAGGTCGCAACCTTACCTCTACAACTTCGGATGCACCTCAAAAATCCATCGAAAAAGATAGTTTTAATATAATCTCGACATCGAGATGTACGACCATGAAAAATAAAAAGATTTTAAGTCTCAGAAATAGTGCATTTTACAACATATTATCTACACCGTCCATTTTCAAGATTTTCCTATGTTTATAGATCTACTTGATTTTAACCATTTTTGAAATTTAAAATTTTATAATTAGATATAAAAATAGATATTGAGATAATCCTAAGAACATTTCACATCAAAATTATATACCATGATAAAATTTGAAGGTGCACCTTGCATCCGTATGCCAACTGCACCCTATAGTAATTATGAGGGAAAAGAAAAAAAGAGAGAGAAATATAAGAATGCTATAAACAATTTAGTGCAAGCAACATTACACTTTACGATGAGACATAATTATCAAAACAGAGGAACAAAAATTGAAAACAGTGTTCCACATTCTAGTCATAACAGTAACAGGCCTCTAATTTACATACATCAATAGCAGATCCGAGATGCCTTTCAGAATGAAAGATAGCTAGGGATCTTAGATTGAAATATCATTTGAAATTCACAATGATCTCAGCATAGAATAACAACATAAATAATATAATGTACCTGTCGAAATCAAGTCCATTGCACGAGAAACATATACCACCCATGGGTTTTTTACTCAAACTCTCTCCATTCTCCCCATATTCATCATCAGATAAGCACATAACAAAACCCGTAGTATTCTTCAAATTGCATGTCGCAGTTGGCCGTTCCCTAATTCACAAAAAACATAACAATGAAGGTTGATGATTAAACAGGAAGAATTAATTAATAAGAAAGAGCCATGATAAAAGAAAAGAATTTCAATCTAAAAGTGTTTGCCAAAGTGTAACTTTACTTAGAATGAATCTTTGAAAGTGAAATCAATCATTCAAAATCATATTAAAGAAGATCATTTCTTTCTTTCTTTCTTTTTTTTTATATTTTGTAAAGAAGATCCTTTTCATATAAAACAAGCAATTACATATAATACGATCTATGATGCTCTTGTTTGTAGGTCTTTTATACAATGGCAATGTTTCCATTACATTCATAAACTTGTTTATAATGGATATAATATTTATAATTACATTACTATTGCAATTACATATCTGTTTACAAAATTATGATCATTGTTTTCAGTAACGGCCAATGGGGTGGATTACCCACCCACTAATCCCATTACAGACTAGTAGGATGGACGACCCAGTAAAATCAAATAAAAAAAGCCAAAAGAATAAAAAGTTTGAAGTATGTCCTATTAGAGCACTGGAAGGGGGTTCAATCCTCCAACCTAGTGCTTTCCAGCCCCATGCTCTATCTCAATGTTTCAAAAAGCGCTAGGCGGGACCTAGGTTGTCAAGGCCGTCCAAGCTGCCTAGCGCCTAGGTGGGCGCCCAAAACCTGGGGGGGCCAGCAGAATTTTTTTGTCTTTTTGGTTTTCTCTTTCTAAAATAGCCTCTAATGGGTTTTAAGTTTCAAATAAACCTAAAACCCACAATTTTCCCCCTTTAGTATTAAAAAAATGACCCAAAAATACCTTCAAGGAGCTGCATTTCCTCCCCTGGGTGGGGCGCAAGCCCTAGGTGGCCGCCTAAACGGGTTCAGGCAGGAGCCCAGGGATATCCGCCTAGGAGGCCGCCCAAGCACTGGGCGGTCCGCTTTTTGAAACAGTGCTCTATCTAAAATGGTTGTTATGGTTACAAGACATGTTTAGTGATTATATACTACAAAACATATGGAACCACCAACTCCTACTAGGAACCACCAACATACCTACCATTTCCTTTTCTCAATCAATGATTTCTTATCCAAGATTGAAGATTGTTCAACCACTATTTGTAATACTCATTTATGTTTATAATAGGATAATTTTCACAAACATCCGTTACATTTGCAGTATTAAAAAGATGTCCTTAATATGTTATATCTTATGCTCATGTCCCTACTTTTTTTTTTTTATCTTTGTCCAAAATACCCAGAGTTCGAAACTTAAAGTTCAAAACCAAGGCATTTCTTTTTTATCAAGGGATTAGCATCGCAACTTTTGAACCAAATTTTTGTTAATAAATCGCTTTGAGACTTGAAGTTTCGAACTGCTCCTTCACTTAAAAAACAATTTGTAGTCAATTCTAAAGTTCAAGGCCTGAATTGGCTCATCTTTATCCTTTTTTGAGTGAATCACTTGAAGTTACGAACCAAGCTTTTCACTCGAAAAAACACAATGCGACCGCCCACTCCCACCCCAACCCCCCCCCAAACCCCAAACTCTCTCTCTCTCTCTACGTCGTGGACGCGAACGGCAACACGAGGGTACAAGG